ACTAAAAGGAAAATGAGATAGCGCAATTTAGAATTGATTATCGGAAGAAATTACTTACAAATTCTTTCCTATACCTTACATCAAACCTTGATCGATTATTAGATCCATTCTTAATAGCAAAAGATCTTAATACTTCAAAAGTCTCATAATTCCAATATTCAATCTTACCATTAATCGATTTCGAAAGTACGTGTTTGTTTGCAAATCGAATGCTATCTTTGTTATAGTTGGGAATCAGATTTGAGCAAACAGGAGAATTTATTCTGATGAAACAAACCTATTTGACCTGTGTGGAATTTTTTATGACGCGTTTCAAAGTCCTTTTGTGAAAAGCGTAAAGGAGGTTGTGTGGGAGGAAACATTAAATCTGGAGTTTTCCAAATGCGTACTTCTCCATTATAACCTCCTGTCAAGAATGTTTGACCGGACGGGTTCCAACACTAGGAACATCATATATGATACTTAGGAGTAGAGATCTAAAGCGTTTTCAAATTTTTGGACTCACCACTACTGAAGCTTTTATTTCAAATGCGTATAAACACGTGCCACTAATGGTATTCCATAATCTTACACTAACATCTTGAGATGCAGATAATAAGTGAATATCATCTTTTGGATGTTTCTGAATGTCGGTGATGATATCTGAAATTTCGTAGATGTCGGTGGTGTGATTATTAGCTACAATTTTTGGTTTCATGTAAATACATGCAGAATAACCCACTTGCCATTGTGTCCTTGCATTTTTTGCAGAGTAATGGAGAGAGTAAGGCTGATGATGTAAATTACTCGAGAATTTCCAGCTATTGCCAATAATGCATCATCATCGCGATGTAGCCAACAACAAGTTAATAATTCCTATACGTAAAATGAGTCGATCTTTAAGGTTACATTTAGAAAAAAAAAAAAAAATCAATTTACGAAAGTGGATCGAAACATACGCTTGAAGCCAAATCTGATTTTTCGTCCACTGCGAAATTGGACATAATATCCAAATGATCACCACAATGTTCGTTATCGTAAATATTTGCCTTATCGCAAAGAAAAATATTTTATCTCCGTATGACAAAAACAAGGAACGGTATGATAGGCTTGGAGATACCTGAATGTCGCCAACACTTGCTAAAATATTACTTGTGTCCCGAACACTTCTTTCGACGTGTCCGAGTTTATTAAAGTTTTTTTTGTACAGAGTTCCCACAGGAGCTTCATAATTACTCAGATTGAAAAAGAAGGCCAAATGATTGATGTCGTGGCCGTGATTCTCTTTGACAATGCGACGGAGGCGAAAGTTACGAAAACTAGTATCGGCAGGACTGGCTGTTTTCACTATTTTCAATTTTGGAATTTTTGGAGTTGCATCCGTGCCCGAAGCCATCTTCGATGTAGATGTCTCAGGTACTGATAACGTGCTTTCATAAGTTGTAAAGTCGTTCTTGTGTCGCAAACGCTTTCTAGCAGGTGTTTCGAGCTCAAGATCCGGACAACTTGTGGTAGAAGTCTTACTTTCGGTATCACTGTCGGGTTTCTTTGGTGCTGAAGAACGTGTCAGCATTGTGAAACAATCGAAAGACGCGTTTCTACATGCTAACGCATTAATGAATCCTAAATCGTTAGCCAATAAAAATATTGCATAAGTGTAGCGTAACCAATTGAAATGTGCCATATATTTAGGGCTGAAAGTTATAAATGTCGGTTTAAAATTCACACGTCTTGTGTATCAACGCGTAACATCTCCCATAGATGCGAGAATTGAAGCATTTTCCGGCTAAAGTCGGCTTTCCTGTTTATTGCGCGGGTATCTCATTTTTCCATCTACCTCCATTTTAAAAAAATGTTTCCTAAACGTCATTTACTTTCGTTTCAATAGGTTTCACGCCTGCTGGTGAGGTCCTCATAGGAGGCGGTGGGGGCTCTCAAAAATCTGGCGTAAAGAATAAACTGGTATATATAACAGAAATCTATAAAAATTATATATATTAAATC